CCATGTTAAAAAAAAAAAAAAAAAAAAAAAAAAAAAAAAAAAAAAAAAAAAAAAAAAGAAGCCACTGCAGTGTGGACCACCTTGAAAATGGGTAAGTGAAAAGAGTAAGGAAGAAGCAAACACAAGATGGCTGTCCTTTTGGACCAGTCAGTCAAAACTTGTATTGACAGAACTTTGTGTATTGACAGAAATGAGAGGTGGAGCTAAACAGGCACCGACAACGGTCACTGCTGCTTTGGCCAAGGTCACTTCACGGCATGCAGCAGGAGAGACACAGGTCGGCTGTTCTGCTTTAGTGACACAGCAGCTGCATTGACTTTGCCTGGCTGCAGCTTAGGGTGCAGATTCACATGGAAACACAACAGGCACAGCACCCACTCATTAGTACAACATGGGCATTTGGTGACAGTGACTTTGACTCTGAGGACCACTAACCTAATGAAGTTTACACCTACCAGGGCACAGGCATGCCACTGTCATCAGTCTTGTGGACAATACCATAGTCCCATGGATTCACCTGTCCAAAGTAAGAGTCAGGAGCTGCATGTCAAATTCTGTTAACCAGATGAGCCCAAAACCCAGCAACAGATCACTCGAGGGACTAGGGCGTGAGGTGTGGTAGTCTGAGGATGGCTGTGGGCCAGACTTCATATAATTTTGGGTCATGTGTTACGGCTCCAGGGAGAAGGCTACATAGTTAGCTGTGCTGACCACTTGTTGACCCCCCTGGATGGGTGGGCTGCTCAGCAGATCTGCTGTGCCCCTAGAGAGATGTGTGTTGTTCCACTCTGCTGGGTGGAAGACAGAAAAACCCCAGCTTGAAAAACAATGCAGTTGTGGTCTCAACCCACCACCACCTTGCCCAGGTGGTGGATGCTGCTCACGCTACATTCCCATTCAGCATTTGTAGCTGTGTTCCACCAAACAGGGTATCAGTTCTCAACATCTGAGATCCTGTTCTAGGTCACAACCCTGATGATCAGGAGCCAGGCTCCAAGGCCAGGCAGCCCTACAGGTCAAGAGGGGTTAGGTGGGTTGGGAGAGGCTCCTGGCCACAAATACTGGTCAAATCTGAGCTTCTTTGTCACTTTTTACTCCTGCACACAAACACTCATGGACAACTGGCTCAGGCTAGCCCCACAGTGCTCTGACTGTTAGATGAGCTGTCCACACTGTGGTGTTGCATGTAACAGGGAGGACACGAGTTTCCAAGCAGAGTGAGGTCCTGGCACTGTTCAGGACTCTGTGGGGCGGCAGAGTGCATGCCAGCGCTTCACCAGCTCCTTGGGTTTGCGGAGCATCTCGTCCCAGTGCTCCAGCTCCTTGCCTCGGGTGTACATGTAGGGGCCCACTACCACACGGCCCAGGGGGTAGTTCTCTGCAGGGGAAGGAAAGATGTCATGTCCTTAAACACGAAAGCCATGTCACCCTCATCCTAGTGCCTGCACTTACTTCTCTCTGTGCCTCCCATTCCCTCTTTGGAAGGAAGTGGCAAGCTCCTCCTCTCTAACAATGTGCCATCATCAGCATTGTTTCCTCTTCCCCAGTGAACTTGGAGGAGGAGACCAGGTGAGAACTTGCATTGCAGCCCTGTCCTTCACTGCCTGGCTCCCTGCCCCAGGCCATGTGAAACTCAAGGCAAGTTGAATTGCTATGAGAGAAAGCACTTTGTAGAAGGAAGGCCTCTTTCATTGCTTTCTTGTACACTAGGCAAGAACATTAGGCAGTAATGTCCACCCAACAAATACCACTGGGGAGAAGGTCCCAAGTCCAACCCATGTGAACAATCAAGCCCAATGACATTGCTTCTGTAGTCAGGGATAGTGAATACTAGGGAATGGGTAGTGCAGGACAACTGGCTAGGAGACCCATCCAGGGCCTTACATGCTCATCTAGAAGGCATGAAGAAATGCAGAGAGCACAACACCCAGCACGGGAAACGGACTACCTGGCATCTCTGACAATTTACCCAGAACGAGGAGGAGACTATCCTTCAGTCTCTTTTTGGGGTACCACAGACAGAATCCAATTGAACTAAAACTGGGTATGAGCTCCAGGCTTCCTGTGGGCAAGCTCTGTGGCTCTCTGAGAGCTAGTTTCTTTAATCAGAAACAGGGACAGCTCTACTTAAGGAAAGCCATTCACTGCCTACAACTCTAGCCCTAGCTTTAAATTGCTCCAACCCCGTGTCCCCACTTCCCATTCCCCAAGCCTTACTGTCGCCTTCCGTGATCTGCAGCACCATCAGGCTAAGGCTTGCAGTGTCCAACTCATTGACGTCAGCCTTGAAGCTGAAGGTTTCATTGTACACAGGATTGAGAGAGCCCAGCACAGCAGAAGTCCTCTTGCACTTGACGAATTTGTTGTGATTCATCAGGGACACTTTGACAAACACGCCTGTGGAGGCAGTGCACATGTACTAGTGGGCAGGAGAAGTAGGCATGAACCCAGTCCCTAAAGTGGGATCTCGAGCGAAGAGGCATGTGCCCCCTCCCTAAGCACCAGGTCCCCATCACTTTCTGGTCCCCAGCTGCTGAGGCCAGAGGATGTGACAGGAGGAAACAGTTAATTAGTGTAATACTGGCTTCCTTTTCCCTCCTCTGGCTCTGGAGGCACCCGTGCTCAGCTGGCTCTGTTGATCTGAACCTGGAACCACAGCCCAGCTTCCCTGCTGGCAACCTACTGCCTGTTGGACACTCAGACTTTGAGCCTCCTTAAGCTCTGGCTCATCCAGAAGCTTGGGAGCCGGGTGTGGATGAGTTCAGACTTTCTGAACTCCTGCAAGTAACTGACAACTTCCACCTGGCTGGAGGTCATAAGATGAACAGGGTCAGTGCCTGGCTCCAGTGTTCTGGAAGGCCAAGAAGCAGCAGCACTATCAGGGTACCAGCACCCCCAAGGAGTAGGAGCCTGTCCTCAGGCATAGGCAGGTGTGGGGCTGAACCTACAGGAGCCATTCAACAGAGGGACAGACAAAGCAGGCAGGCCAGTTCAAAGCACTAAGATGCTGCCCCGGGAACCAGAGCAGCAGGGTGAGGTTTTCAGTCTGTGCAGAGCACTTGGCACATAATGTAGTCTTAGAAAAGGCTTTGGATGGCAGAAGCACTGGTAGAGGGAGAGCAGGGCAAAGCAGAGGAAGTGCTGAGTGCTTGGTCTTGGGCACACGAAGCACAATTTGGATGGCTGGTGGTGAGGTCAGACTGCCTAGCCCTGGCTAGGCTCTTTAGGAGGGACCTTCTCTAGGACCAGGAGAGTGGGATGGGGTGACTCACTGACAACACCCCTGTTGTCCTGGATCTGGAGACCTTTGGCACGGAGCACAACCACAGTCAGGCGGCTCAGGTAGTCGTTGTAGCTGAGACAGAACTGAAGGTCACCAAACTCTGAAGGAGGCTAGGGAGGCAGAGATAGAAGCATTCACTCCTGTCACTCTGGCAGGTGGCAGAGGAACTGAGAACAATCTCTCACGACACACCTGCACAGTTTCCTTTGTGACCCCCACCATTTTATAAACAGGAAAACAGAAGTCTGGGCATTGGAAGATACTCATGGAATGCCAGGTAAGCATTTCCAGTCCAAAAGACTCAAATCTGAAATGACCTGATGTTCCAAACTCTCTAATGTTAAATTACATACTATGAAATTTGCTTTGTTTTAAAGTCTTATTAAGTGTGTACATACGTGTAGGCAAGCATGAGTGTGTATGCTCAGATGTGCTTGTCCATGCAGAGGCCACAGGGGACTTTAGGTACTTTCCTCCGTCACTAAGCTTTATTGTCTCAAGACAGGGTTTTTTACTGAACCTGATGTTCTCCAGTTGGATTAGGCTGGCTGGCCAGCAAATTCCCAGGATGCATCTGTCTCTACTCCCCAGTGCTCCAGTTACAGGACTATAAGGCCATATGCCAGGCTTTTCATGGGTGCTAGAGATTTGAACTCAGTTCTTCTTTCCCAGTGAATACTCTTCCGCACTGAGCCATTTCTCTAGCCCCATATGCTAAAAATTATTATATTTTAAATTTATTTAACTTTATTTTATGTGCATTGGTGTGAGGGTATAGATCCCCTGGAACTGGAGTTACAGACAGTTGTGAGCTGTTATATGAATGCTAAGAATTGAACCCAGGTCTTCTGGAAGAGCAGCCAGTGCCTTAACTGCTGAGCCATCTCTCTAGCCCCCCAAAATATTTAAAATACTGTATAAAATCAAATTTGTCCATTGCGGTTAATGTGCATATAATGTACATTGCATTGGATTTGGGTCTCCTCCCTCGAGATATCTCATTATGTATATGTAAACATTGCAAAATCTGAAAAAAAAAAGTAAAATGTGAACCCTTCCTAGTCCTAAGCATTTTGGGAAAGAGATCCCTAACCAGTGGTAATGGGCCAGAGCCAGGTCTCTGGTTTCTAAAGCCTGTTTGGATTTACCTGGGTCTTCCCTGGGGCTTGGGGAAGAAGAGATAAATACTTCCCTGGACCTAGGCTTTCCCATTGCTGTGTTCCCTTTCACAGAGACCTGTGTGGGAATCCAAATGTTCATTTCTTTAGAGATAGAGGTTCACTGTGTAGCCCAAGCTGGCCTCAAATTTGTGCTATGGGCTGGTGCAGTGGCTCAGTGGGTTAAGCTCAACTACCTGAGTTCAATCTCCAGGATCAATGTGGCAGAAGGAGGGAAGCACTCCTGCAAGTTGTCTTCTAATCCTTACAAGTATACCACGCCACCCATAATAGATAAACAAAAATGTAATGTAAAAAGTTGTGGTTCTCAACCCCCCAGAGAAGCTAGAACCCTCTTCCAGAAACAAATGGAAGCAGATGTGGAAATCCACAACTAACCATTGGGCCAAGCTCCTGGAGTATAATCGAAGTAAAGGAGGAGCAAAAATATGAACAAAGGAGTCCAGACCATGATGAGGTAACCCATAGAATCAGCTGACCCAAGCTAGTGAGAGATCACTGACTCAGGTCTAACAAATGGGGAACCTGCATAAGGCTGAACTAGACTCCCTGAATATAGGTGACAGTGGTATGGCTGGGGCATTATTTGAGGCCGCTGGCAGTGGGTCCAAGATCTAACTCTAATGCACAAACTGCATTAGACATTCTATATGGAGCCCATTCTATATGGAGAGATACCTTGCTCAGCCTAGACACAGGGGTGTAGGGGGTAGATAGGTGCCTTGGTTCTGCATCAATGAGATGATGGGACAGACTTAGTAGACCTCCTAGGGAAGGCCTTACCCTCTCCAAGGAACAGATGGAATATAAGAGGGGGGAAGTGGAGGGAGCGGGAGGAAAGGAGGGAGGGGAAACTGAATTGGAATGTAAAAAACAAATCAATATTTTTTTTTTTTAAAAAAAGTTGTGGTTCTTCTGCTCAGTTTCCTGGGTGCTGAGATTATAGAGGTATGCCACCACACCTGATTCCTAAATGTGACTTTTTCCATTTGCTCCCGAGTATCACTTGAAGTATTTCAATGTCCTGTGTCTGCTTAGGTATAGGTCCCATCCTCTCCTGTAGGGCCTGGGCCCACCTCCCTGAGCCACTGTAGGATGATGACCAGGAACAGAGAAAGTTGCTGGCCAGGCGGTGCCAGGTAGGCCCTTGCATATCTTGGCAACCCACAGTAATGCTAACGCCCAGTGATATGTGCTTGCTGACCATCTCACCTCTAGGTTCTCGGCTTCCAGGTCTCTCCAGATGACATGGTGGTGGTCCCCTGCCAGGATCTCATTCTTCAGGGGAAATAGCACGTGCCCGAGGAGCTGGTGCTTCCTTTGCCTGTTTACATGGTACACGGAGAACTTCAGCACTCTCTGGGTGACACTTCTGCTGGATACCTGAGGACAGACAGGACCGAGACCAGGGTCAGGTCTGGGAGTAGGTGCCAAGTGGTATATCTAACATGCTGGAGACAGGAGACATGTCTAAACTCAGGTTTACTTAGTGACCCTTCTCAGCAGTAAGGCCCAGTAACCTGGGGAAGTATATGGGTAGACCTGAGCCTTGTCATACAGTGTTTTAAGGACTTATATCCATTGATGCATGGGGCCCTCCTTGGTAGCCCAGTAACCAGAATCTGTCCTTGGAAAGTGTTTGCTTGCAGAAAAGTTATGCCAGAAATCATGGCTTGGTCTTAGGGAAATGGGCTCCCTTCTCTCTGAGCCTTGGCCTTCACAGCTGTTAGGTGGGGGTCACTATTCTTGTCTAGCCTGTAAAACCCCATCTTTGTGTCTGGGTTACAGCAGATGGGCAATTAATTCTGATTTTCACTGTCAGCCCTTCTTCCCAGAGCAGGGAGGCCCCAGGATCAAGTTGGGGTGAGATAACAAGTCAGAGTGCTACAGCAACAAGAGACTGTGGAGTCCTCATCCCTAAATGGAGCATCTTTCTCAGCCCCATTACCAAGGCTCAGGGGACATCTAAGAAAAAGCAGAAAGGATGTAAGAACCATGTGTGGTGGTGAATGCTTTGAATTCCAGGGCTTGGGAGACAGAGCAGTTGGCTCTCAGTAAGTTCAAGAGACTAGCCTGGTCTGTATAGGGCAACCAGGGTAAGTAACACAGTGAGATCCTGTCTCAAAAAACAAACATGAATTTGGGAGAACTGTGTTGGGGAGATTTGGATGGGGTACGTGGAAGGGGAAATGGGGAGGGTGTGATCATGTTTTATTGGAAACATATATATGAAATTCTCAAGAATAAAGAAAATTAATACTAAATGTTAATATTAAAATACTCTATGGCATGTGTGTAGCATCAAGCTATATAACCAAAAAAAGAAAGGGGGGGAGAAAGAGAAAAAATTTGAATAAGTAAGTGAGATAATCCCTTAAAAAACTTCAAACAAATAAAAACCCCTTGAGGTGTGAAATCATGGGGCAGTGATAGAGCAGAGAAGGTGTCCCCTGTTAGGTCTCCCAGCCCTGGCTCCTGTGGGAGGGCCACCGTGGCTGGGCCACACCTCTTCCTAGCTCTCAGTCTCACTCCAGCCCCAGAAATCACATGCTTTCTGGAAGTGGACTGGCCTTTTCTTCCCTCTCAGGCCATTGTGTTGCACAGCTCTTAAGAAATGTTTGTCCAAGACTCTTGGCAGGCCCTTCTAAGAGCCCCTGGACACCTGCTGAGGTTCCCAGGCTATGGTAAGTTTGGTGCCCAGGCATCCTTCCCAACCTTAGACACCAACAGTCTGACACATGGCTTTAGTCCCTTCAGATACCACCAGGACAGGCAGTTTCTGCCCCAACTCATATGCCTGGAGGGTCTCCATTGGGTGTCCTTGCCCATAATGCCCAGGATATTGGGTAAATTCCAACAGCCCATAGACCAGAGCCTAGCATTGAGTAGACACTTTAAAATGTGCTTTCTCTTTCTTCTTTTCCCCAGGCACCCAGGGCAGGAGGAACCCCATCTCTGATCATCTCTCTTCAAGTAAACCTCATTTTAAAAACCGTCTTCATCAGGACTACCTCCTGTAGACCCTCCTTCTGCAAGCAGGGCTGGAGGCATGTGGGTCCTAGAAGGCTGGAGGGCCCTGTTGATAGGAAGCCAGGTTATCCTGCAAAATGCTGCCCCCTAGGAAGCCTGAGGGCACCACGTACCACTGCTCCAGAGGAGGTACCTGGAATATGAAGTTCTCATCAAACTGTGGGTTGCAGGTTTTGCGTTTTGTCTTGGACTGGAGGAAGCGCCGTTCATCAGGCAGCAGGTGGAGCTTCACCAGGGGACTGCAGGTCTCTGAGGGGACTTGCAGTTGCCGAGCCTTGATCAGGCCCACCAGCAACCTCTCAGATTCCTGTTGGTACTCCACGGAGAACCACAGCCGGCCCAGGCAGCCTTCAGGGAAGTCTGTCTCACTTGTGTCCTCTGGGGACTTGTACAACTCTGGGTTGATGTTCCCTATCACACAGGCATCTCCTACAACAGAAGGGCAGGGATGTCAGGCCAGCTGGAGAAAGACAGGGATACGGGGACAGCAGCCAGCTCTTGATGTACCCACATCATGGCCGGGCTACTCATTCTATGCCAGAGCCCCTTGCACCTGAGTCCTGGGAGTACTTACCAGGGTTGGCACTGGAGGTGTAGGGCATGTGCTCTGGGACAGGGCAGGTGTCCTGTGGGACCAGAGCCCAATCTCCACTATGTAGGGGCACCCAGTCTCGGCCTTGGTGAGAAGTGGGTACAACAAATGGTATACTTGGTAGCCTGTCCAAAGGGAGGGAAACAATGTATAGATGGCAAATGAATTATTCAACCTCAGCGCTCAGCCAAGAGGCTGAATGCAAGAGGAGCCAGCAAGAGACAGCAGCATCACTTCTGGGCCTATACTAGGACACACACACACACTAGGACACACATATACACATACAGAGACACCACACATGCAGACTCACATAGACACATAGATATACACACAGAGAGGCCACACACACACACACACACACACACACACACACAAACACACATACACACTCCACATACAGAGTCTCTATCTGCCCATCCCACAGTGTGGTGTGGGAGTCAGAGCAAAGCCTCTGACAACAGTCTGTCTGGATTCTAGATCCCAGTTGTGGTATCTGGATCTGCTTTTTTTATATTCTCTGTGCCAGTTTCCCCAGCTGGAAAATGGCGTTCGCAATGCCTGCCTCCAGGTCCTTGTGAGATTTCTGGGGTTTCTGGCATAATTTCCAGCATGCTGATGGCCTGAGATAGGCACCCTACAACAGAGTGTTTCATTCCCAACTTGCCCCATTCTGAGAGCAAGTGCCCAAGCAAGGCCTTAGAGAAAAAAAAAAAAAAAAAAGAAAGCTCAGAACCTCACCTGCCGGGTGGGGTCCCAGCATAAGGGCAGAGCCTGTCCTCTTGTCTGCTGAAGGAAGAGGTGGTGGCCGGGTCTGGTGTCTCTGGCAGCTCCTCATAGGTGAAGGTGGAGCAAAGTCTCCTCCACAGACAGCAGCTCCCACTAATCAGCAGCAGCAGTCCCCCAATGATGCCCCCTATCACCAAGGCCAGCTGCTCTGAGGCAGAGACCACCAGTGCAGGCTGTGAGCCAGAGGAGGAAAGCCACCCCCATGACAGCCTCACACCTCTGCTCTTGAGAGTGAGCAGAATTGGATAGTGTCCCATCCTGGGAATGGTACATAAGTAGGTTGTTTGCTGGTCTCAGCCCAAAAGACATTTCTTTTGAGAACAGAGGGCCCTGAACTTGGATGTGGCTATGTTCCAGAGTAAAAAGCAAACCCTCCCTCATAAAGCCTCCACTTCCCTGGGCTCCTGCTGGGGTTTGAATATGAGCTTGGGTGTGGGTGCCACACACTTAAGAAAAGTCCAGGAAGGAATCTGTGTCCCATGGCTTGAGAGAGCTCTTTTTTTGGAGGAATCCTGTAACCAGATGGGCGGCTCCACCTGCCCTAGGCTCTGTAGTTAGTGTCCATTGCCCCCACCCTTCGCCCTCTATTCAGGGCAGCCCATGCTTTGGGCAGAAGGTGGCAGGCAGTGAAGCCTAATGCAAAGGGGAGAGAAATGGAGACCTAAGGACCCTTGGACTCTCACAATTGCAGGGACACCAGAGGCTACACCTGGAGGCCGCAAGAAGGCTTCCAGGCTTGGTCTCACTTGCTGGTTGCAGGAACTGGGTAGGACGTTCTCCTGGGCTGTACCCGGTCTTCCCCGGGTACAAGGGTATAGACAGGGTGGTGAGAAGGCGGGGCCGGTACACATCCTAACCCACAACAGTCTGGGAAGGGCTAACCGCACCCTTCACTCCATTTCCGAGGGTGGCAGGGTGAGACAGGTGCTTGAACTGTCACGGAGCGCCCTGGGACAAGGGTGGGAGGTGAGGTCACTTACCCGCCATGGAGCTGCTCCTGAGCGGCGTGACTCCCGCGGCTTCTAAGTCTAGGGCTGCGGCTTGGACGGCGCGGCCGGGGCCCTGGGCAAAAGGGCGCCGAGAGAGTCTGCACAGCAGCCTCCGGATGGCAGGCGAAGGCTGCAGCGAGGTGGCTGGGGAGGCAGGGCTCCAGCGCCCCAGGCCATGGCTGCGCCCCGCCCCGGTGCTGGCCCCAGCCCGGGAGGGGCTCACAAGCACCGCTGCAAGCCCGGAAACCGCGGGCTCCAGGAGGGGAAGATACCAGGCACCGGTGCCAGAGGCACCAGCAGATACCCTGCGGGCCCCTGCCAGGTTGGAGACCAGGGTCACTCCCATTACTGAGGCCTGAGCAAAGGCTTCTCCATCATCGTCTGCCTGTGGGCTCAGCACCTGCTGTCTCACACACAGTGGCCCTGGCAAACGCCTTGCCTGCGATCAGAAATGCACCTCGCTCCTCCACTGACCCTTAGAGGGTTGAGTTGTACCTCCTCCAGATCCCAACCGACTTTGGGTCTAGGTAGACTTTCCAATCCTAGGCCGGCGTTCTTGAGTCTTCCCAGGCGCAGATCTACCTGCCTGATTGTTCCAGCAGCAGTGTGGAGCTAAACTTTAACAAGGCAGGATCCTCAGGGTTCCAACCCAATCTGTCACAACTTTAGAGTTTGCCAATGCCTCGCCTGGGTTAGCAATAACACCTTGGGAATGTTCACGTGAACATCAGGGGCTCTCACAACCTTGGCAGTCTCTTGGAGGTGACTTATAAAAAATGTGTAAGGGATGGCAGCCACTATTAAGGTGACAATATGACCCAGGTGATTATTGACTGGGTCTTCTCTGAACACCACTACCATGGTGATTATTATCTCTCTGCTCTGACTTGGCTCCTGCTAGAGTTTTTGCAGAGGTCTCTAGTGGTTCTTGCCTGTGAGAATGCCCTCCATAAGCACCCTTCTTCACTCCTGTAGAAGTTCCCTGGGAATATGTAACCAGCAACTCTGAGACCCAGGGGCATTTGTAAGAGGGGGGCCTGTGGTGGTTTGAAAGAAAATGGCCCCCAAAGGGAGTAGTACTATTAGGAGGTGTGGCTTTGTTAGAGTAGGTGTGGTCTTGTTGGAGGAAGTGTGGGTGGGCTTTGAGGTCTCCTTTGCTCAAGCTGTGCTCAGTGTGGTACACAGTTCACTTCCTATTGCCTAAAGATCAAGATGTAGAACTCTCAGCTCCTCCAGCACCAAGTCTGCCTGTCTGCAAGCCACCATGCTTTCCCCCATGATGATAATGGACTAAACCTCTAGCCCCAATTAAATGTTTTCCTTTGTAAGAGTTGTCATGGTCATGGTGTCTCCTCACAGCAGTGGAAACCCTAACAAGATAGGGCCTAAGGAAATGGGGGAGGGGGAAGTCCATCTTGTGTTTTATAGCCATAGAAGTGATGTCCAAGGATGAAGCTTTGGCTGCTGGGTTACCAGAGGTGCTGATGTGGTGTCTGCGGAAGGCCATGCTGGGTAGATAGAATGGTGGGAAGGCTCTGCCCTGCTGGAGCCTTCCTTCACCTGAGGCTAGACAGGATGAGTTGTGAACTGGGGAGTCCTTTACCTCACAGGGAAAGACTCTACCCAGTCTCTACCCAGTTCTCCCCAAGGTGTGACTACACTATCTCATTCCTGAATCTCTTCCAGTGCTCTAGGTCCCTAGCAGTTCCCTCCTCTCCTTTCTTCCAGTACCTGTCTTGGCAGTGTAGTAAGATTGGAGGTTGTCAGGAGAACCCAGTTTTCAGAGGGGATCAAGAAGAAGCTGGGGTTCTCCAAGCACCTTATCTTTCCTTCCAGGTATGAATTACATACCTGCATGTGTTAGTTCTCAATGTTGCAAAGCCAGAACAGCTCCAAGGTTAAATGGTTGAGGTGTGCCTTCATGGTGGTCTCTATCTGGAGGTTCCGATGGAGAGTCCTTTTCCAGATGCTACTGACAGTTTACTAGAGTCCCCTCCCTTCATCTTAAAAGCCAGCTGTGCTGTATTTTCTAACCTCCAAGTATGTTTTTTGTTGTTTGTTTGTCTTTGTTTTTGTTGAGACAGGGTATCTCTGGCTAGCTCTGGCTAGCCTGAAACTCACTGCATAGACCAGGCTAGCCTCGAACTCACAGAGATCCATCCACCTGGCTTTGCTTCTCAGGTGCTGGGATTAAAGGTTTGTGTCACCACACCTGGCCTGGGATCAACTGTTTCTTCTCTTACAAGGACCCTCAAGATTGTAGGAATTTACCAGGCAACTCACCTTAATCTTTTCATGTCAGGGCCATTATCTTAATCACATCTGCAAGCCCTCTTTTTGCCATGCAAGGTAATCTTCTCATGAGGTGTTGTGCTGGCTAATTTTATATCAGCTTGACACAGGCTAGAATCATCTGAGAGGAGGAAACCCCGACTGAAAAAAACACCTCCATAAAACTGAGCTGTAGGCAAGCCTGTGAAACATTTTCTTAATTAGTAATTGAAACAGGAGGGCCCAGCCATTGTGGGTCAGGCCATCTCTGGGCTGGTGGTTCTGGGTTCTATAAGAAAGCAGGCTGAATAAACCATGATAAGTCAGTAAGTAGCATTCTTTCATGGCTTCTGCATCAGCTCCTGCCTCCAGGTTTCTGCCCTTGCTACTTTTGATGATGAACTGTTACATGGAACTGTGAGTGAAATAAGCTCTTTCTTCCCCCAAGTTGCTTTTGGTCATGGCTTTATCACATAACTAAGAAGGCTGTGGACAACTTTGGGACAGTTGATGGGTTGGTCACAGTGTCTATGCCTCACTCGGACTGTGGGCAGGACGGGTTCACATTCTTCTTCCTGCTTCCTAGAGCTTTCAGTGTGCCCCAGGACTGGCCTCAGGCATCTAGGAAGGCCCACATGTCCCCTTCCTAATAACTATGCCCATAATGAGGCATGATGTCCTATCTGCACTCGTTGCCTTCATTACTGAGCCTGAGTTGTGCTGGGTCTAATCTGGGTGTTGAGTAGAAACTGATACAGCCCTAGCCCCATGCTATGATTTCCCATTTCATCTGTCTTCCTCTTTGGACTTCTTCTTTGGCCACCAACATCCAAGCCAGTTCTTCCTCCTCTGTTTATTTTTATCATCTCCAAAATCACATTCCAGGTCTCCCCATCCCATCGGCAGTACTGCATGGGCTATAGCTGGGCTCCTCACATTTGACCATGTATCTTTCCCACCTCATCTCTTTCAAGCTCTTCCTACCCCTCTGCATGTTCAGAGTCTGGCTCCATGTAGCTACTCTCAAAGATCTGCCAACATACTGGCTTCCTTTCAGTATAGCTGAAATACTCAGTGCCCCTCCCACCTTCTTTGAATGGGCTCATCCTACTGGATAAATCACTGTCACCTTCTTAAGAGCCATTAGTGAGAGTAGGGCATGGTAGTGCATGCCTTTAATCCTAGCACTCTGGAGGCAGAGGCAGGTGGATCTCTGAGTTCGAGGCCAGCTTGGTCTACAGAGTGAGTTTCCGGGTGGCTAGGGCTGTTTACAGAGAAGCCCTGTCTTGAAAAACAACACAAAACAAAGAGTCATTCACCCCTAGCTTCTTGTTCTCATTGTCCCTGCATTTGCCATGATGACTAAGGGACTCCATCTCTACGGCTGCCATTTATTTTATTCTCCCTAGCGGATTAGCCCCTGCTTCACGGAGGCAGAGCTATGTCATATTCAGCTCTACACCTCCTGGGTCAAGGCTGTGATGTTTGTGGCTTGTGTCTAATCCTGGGCAGCCACTGCTGGGACACATGCTCATGAAGTCAGCTCTGCTATAAGCACCTCCCACATCCAGCCCTCCCATTTAGCTTGGGCCTTTTCTCACTGGAAGACAAAGCAGGAGGCAAAAGGGAACTCACTCTTTCTTGTGGCTCTCAAGATCTGAATGGTGAGTCAGGCCCACTTTAATGCCATTCCATTGAGCCTCAGATTAGCCCTGGTGGTCAGAACCAGGCTTTCAGATGAAGAAACCAAAGAGACATCATGGCTCTTACAGAAAGGGTGGCACTAGACCCCTTATGCCCTCTTTCCCACTGATCAGTTGACAAGTCCGCATAAGTCCCCAGGAGACATGTTGCTTGGTGTTGCCCCTGAACTAGGCCAGAGCCATAAGTACTATGGAGTTTCCCTTCTGTTGCATGAGTGCTCCGAGACCCAGCTGACTCAGGGCCAACATCACACAATGGAAGTGCCGCCCAGGGCTGGCTGCAGCCATGGCCCCATTTCCTGTTTTCCGATCTGGCTGATACTGGATCTCATGCTGGAAAACCTGGAAACAGCAGTAGACATGGTTTGTCTCTTCCATGGCCAAAAGGAAATCATATCTTCATTGGCAAGCACATTTCCAAGGAGATTTGCTAGAAGTCCAAGAGTTTAAAGGCCTTCTAATGCCTGCAGGTGATAAATAATTCAGTGTGGTGGATGATTCATGAGAAAGGCCACTTTCAATTAACCTTAAGAATCAGCCCCATCTAAGGAAGTGTCCCCCTCTGTCACTTAGGAACAGAGAAGCAGGATAAAGGCCACACTGAGAGGCATGGACAAGACTGTGTCTTACATCTGTGTAAACTCCCCCCTGGTTAGCTAAGGTCCCTCTTTATGAGATATGGAAACCCTCTCCTCAGCATTCTTTCTGTTTCCTTGTTTCACTAGGGTGATCTCAGGATTGATTTTTCTAACAATCTATTATAATTTGGGTCATACACTTATCCCAAAGATGTGCATGTTGAGAGCTGGTCCTCAGCCGATGATGCTACTGGAAGGTGGTGGATTCTTTAGCAGGTGGAGCCTAGTGAAAGAACAATAGGTCATTGGGGTGTGCCTTTAAAGGGGACATTGGGACCCTATTACCTTCCTGTTTCTGTCTTTGCTTTTGGGCTACTTGTTTTCCTATGCGTTCCCCTCCATTATGCTCTGTCTCTCTGACAGCATAAACAGCACTGGAGACAACTGGGCATGGATGGAAACTTCTGAAGAGTGAGTTTCAATAAGCCTGTCCTGTTTAGGTTGCTTATCAGGTATTTAGCCACACAGGAGAATGCTGAGTAACAGAAGACTCTCTCTTATTTTTAACATTGTCTTAGTTTTTCAAATTAGCATTCATTTATTATATAAATAATAATAATAACAAATGCTAAATTAAAAATAAATGATAATGTATTTATCGCATTGTATATATGTAAATATATAGAACATATTTTTCTCATATTTATCTTCATTACCCTTTTTTGTCCCCCACCAATACTATCACTTCTGTCTTCATGTCACACATTTAAATCTAGATTCTTCATATGAGGGAT